CCCCCCTCCCTCTCGTCGCTCAACTTAGTGCATGAATAATGTAAATAATGTCGTCGCCCTCTCTCTTTCTTTCTCTCTCGTTCTTTCTCTTTTTCTGAGGTGGAATTATTATATTCTCATTGGTGGCCGCGGTTTCGCGCGGCATCCAGGATACGACGACGACGGGATACCTTTGCGCGAGTTATAAAACAGACATTCCTCGGTCACGAGGGTAATGGGAATAAATGTGTTGCGATGTCGCGACGTAATCGCAATGAATATGACACAATTTTCGTGGTAAGCGTTCCTCTTAAATATGGATGAGACGATTATTTCATCGGGTTTGCGGTTCACGCACGGCACACTTGCGAGTCACCGGAGTGTCGCGCGACCGGCGTTCGAATTCTCTTCGTACCAGAAACGCCGACGGGGTGTCGTCGTTCCTCATCCACGACGCGTCCGTTACGGTCTCGAAAAAAACTAGTGGACGCCGGCCGTCGAAGAAAATAATAATAATCGAAGACGCGGAGATGTAATCCTCTGAACGTGGTCGAAAGAAGGACGCGTTGGTATTCCGATGTTCCGGAGAAGCAAATCTCCGCGTTGAGTCTATTGGAACACACAAATCTAAGCCTACTCTAAGTCAGTTCCCGACTAGAAATGTATCCCATGGTCCTGAACCAGTTTGGTCCCAATTATCTAGTTTGTATAACTATTAGACACATTAATTGACTAAAATTTTCCTTGACTAAAATACTCGGTAAATCAATATTCAAGATTAATCAATTGTCATATGTAAAATCACAAATAATTGTATCGATTGGTGAGATCAATTACTAATCAAACTTTGATGGTATTGATTATACATTGGTTGATAACTAATTTTACCAATCAGTTAAATTACTCGTAATTATATATATGAACGATTGATTAATTTTGATTATCAATTTTTCGTTTATTTTAATTAAGGAAAATTTTCAATGAAAAAAATCCTCTTTGATTAAAATAATCGGCAAATCAAGAATTAAAATTAATCAAAATTATTATACAAAATCATAAATAATTGTATTGATTGATGAAATCAATAATCAATCAAACCTTGATAGGATCGATTATATACTGATTAATAATTAATTTTATCAATCGGTTAAACTACTCGTAATTACATATATGACGATTGATTATTTTTTATTTGATTTGTCGTTTATTTTAGTCAAGGAAAGTTTTTAACTAAAACAAAACTAAAATAAAACATTCTCTTTGATTAAAATAATCGGCAAACTAATAATTAAAATTTATCAAAATCGTTATATATAAAATTATAAATAATTTCATCGATTGGTGAAATTAATTATTAATCAAACCTTGGTGTGATTGATTATACATTAAATAATAATTAATTTTATCAATCGATTAAATTATTCATAATTACACATATAATAATTTAACTTTGATAATTAAATTTGCTAATCATTTTCAATCAGTCAAAGAAAATCTTAATCAATTAATGCCTGATATTGGTTTAAGATAATGTCATCGAGTCTTGATAAGTCATTTAACACAGCGTGACAATCAGGACATTAATAATAAGAATTATTAATAATTTAAGAGTTTGTTAGTGATTAAGGTGACAACATTATCTTATGCAAACCAGATAACTTATTGGCATCAGGATGATTAGGAGATCATGAGATAAATTTCTAGTCGAGTTAATGTCATTCCGAATAAAACATCCGTTCGAGTAGATCAAGACAGATACACCGAGAGGAGTGTTAAAACGTCTCGAGTATCCGCTGGGTGATACGTAGGTATTCCGACGAAAAAAAAAAGAGAACGATTCCTTAATTGTTATTTCCGACGGTGTATAATCAACGCGAGAAATCGAACGACCACGCGAAAACGGTTGCTGAAGGAGCACCGTGCAAAGCGACCGAAACACGGTCTGGCTCGCGTGTTCGCCGCGGGATTTTTGTTCGGAACAGCTACCGCGCTTACTATAATTAGCAGCCTGATAGTTTCCTAGCGGCAACGTGACAGGTACGACCGCCGCCTCTCGGCGGAAAAGGAGGGCTCGGCAGAAGAAACAGTACAAGACCAGAGGGGGGCCAAGGGGGTCGCGAGAGAAAGAGGGGGGCGGAAGAGAGAGGGCCACTGTCACTGCCACGGCTGCAGTGAGGTAATATCGGATTCCACGACGCGAAAGGCGCCATCTTGGACATTCACCACCGGCGTCGTCGCGGTCTCGAGATTTCCCTGCTTTTTCCGCCGCGATAAGTCGACTCGTCAATCGCGCGAGAGCCTCTGCTTTATTATACGGATAGCTGGAGCGGATGTTTGCGCGTGTCGTACGGAGACACGTCAATAGTTGGATACTCTCGGAGCTGACGATCAATAAAATT